GTCTATCCACCTCCGGTAACAGCCAAGCCCTCAACAGAACTACCGGCAGTGAAAGAATGGGAACGGGACCCTCTTTCTCTAGCCCCTCAGCTGGCCCACTCCCCTCGAGGCGGATACGAACGGTGCGCGCAGTCCAGGGGGAGCCTCCCCCCTCCCCTCCACAAGCCGGAGACCACTTTCTCGTCGCGGACTCGGCCATCGCGCAAGTCGGTCGCAGAAGCAGGGCTGCTGTTAAGCTGATGCGAGGCGCAGAGTAGCGAGGATAATCTAGGCGAGCGGCGGGCGGAGGAGGAAGAAAGGGGACCAGCTCCCCCAGGCTGTGTACGTCGTGCCGCAACAAAAGCACAGGCATGCATGTGCGGACGTCCGCGCGGATCTCTTGGGCCGCAATGAGGCCCCCTGCCCGCCCCCCCCCGCGCGCGGAGCACGCTGGGGGGCTGCGCAGCAAGAGCCGCCCAGGAGCTGGGGTGGGGGGCCCAGTGCCGACCAAAGAAAATCCGCACGGACCTCCGAAGGTATGGGCCGCCTGCTACCTCCGGCTCGCCAGACGTCGACCCCTGGAGGTCTCGACCACCTCCCCGGGACTTGCCTTTCATGCTGAGCATCTGTTGACGGCCCGATACGATCATATCTTCGAGACCCCGGAGGCCTGGAGAGGCGCGGCGAGGGGAGGGCGGCCACTTCCGTGCAGCGAGAGCCGACGCCGCCGAAGGGCTCCCGAAAGGCCCCCGAAAGGCCGCCGAGTGCCGCCGAGGGCCGCCCGAGGGCCGCTCCAGGGCCGCCCGAGGTGCATCCGGAAGCAGCGAGGGGCCCGCCGGGGCGCGACGACCACTTCTGAGTACCGCGAGCCGGCGCTGCCCAGGCGGTGCTCCCACGGCATCACCTCGGACGAGCGCGGGCGCGGCGGCGGCGGCGGCGCGGCGACGAGCCCGCGCGGAGGAGAGCAAAGGGGCGGCGGGATCGTCGGCAGTCTGCGGGGCTCTGAAGAAGCCCGCCGCAAGCGCCCACTTTTCGTCAGAGAAGTCTGGGTGGGTCGCGGGTGTAGGAGGCTCGCAAGGGTCCGGTACTCGGTTTCTGGGAAGGAAAAGACAACAATCTCCCGCGGCAGACGATACGGCACTGGAGGAGCAAACGCCAAGCGCTGAGAGGCGGGGGCGACATGCCGCAGGGGCGCGGCACCCGGGCGAGCCGAGGAACCGTCTGCCAGGCGAAGCGACCCCACCGCGACCCACCCAGGTGGGTCGCCGCGGGGTCGCAGGCAGTTGGGACGCGGGCGGGTCGCGAGTGGGTCGCGGGCGGGCCGCGGGCGAGAGGGCCAGGCGGGCGGCCTGGGCCTCCCCTCCGAGTGCGGAGCGCTGCTTGGTGGAGCCATCCGCCAACCCCTCGGGGGTTGTTGCACGCCGTGTGAGGTGCAGTGGAGGCCAGTCCACAAGAAACCTTCGACAAGAAACCCAACCCTGAGAACCCAGGACGTCCACTGGTGTTTGGTGCGGGAACGTCACGCCCTCCACAGCAAAAGCGTCGCAGCCCAAGAAACCCAGGGCACCCTGGAGGCCAGCGGGGTGTTTCTTGGCATGGGCCTCCACTGTAGTTGGCCCCTCCCCAAACCCGCCCCCTGGGAGACCGGTCTGGTCGTTGGTGCGCGGCTTTGGGGTCCCTCACGGGGACCAAGTCCAAGCGCGCCAAGCCACTGCTGGGAGGAGCCTCGTGGGCCCGCGCCAAAGGTCGCTCTGGGGAGGGGTTACTCTGACGGGTAGCTGATTTTTGGCAGTTGTCGGCCTCCAAGGGCTGTCACTGGGCCCAAGGGCCGTCAACAAAACGACTCGGGATGAGAAGCTGGTCCTGGGGAAGGGGTCCAAGCCTCCAGGGTCCACGTTGCGAAAAATCCAAGGAAAGTCGGAGTTCTGGGGTGAGCAAAGGTGCGGAGCGGAGCTGCTGCCAATCAGCAGCAAACGAACATGTATAATTTTATCGACCTGCGAGAGCCGAAGTATGCGCACGTTCGATGTCCACTGTTCAATACCAAAGGAACGCGCGGAACTGCAAAACGATATCTGATGCGAGAAGAGCTAGCCTGCAATAGCCGAACAAAAATGGCCTGTCTTGCGCTACCATGGCCACAGAGGAGGACGAGGACAAGGATCAACAAGAGGATCAGGAGCAAAAGCGGGATGTCGGGATGTCGGGATTGTGGTGCGAGATTGGAACAGAAGCGCCGCCGTCGCCCCAACTCTGGAGACCGACAGGGAGGGGACCGACTCAGATGAACAAAAACATCGGCCTGGAATCAGCGATACATCGCCGAGTGGATGGCGATACGCCTCCGAAAGCGGAGCTGCACGCTCCTGCGCAGGGTGGGGCACCGTAGCCCCGATTGGCGATGAACGGGCGATCACGGGGTCGACGCTGCTCCCCTGGAACAATCCCCGTTCCTTTCGGCCCCCCTGATACTGGCCCGCTCTTCCAGTGTCTCCGATTGTATCTTGCACCACTGGCGCCCAGCCATTGGTTCGGTGGCTTGGCATTCGAGAGGAAGGGCCAACATGACAACGGGTCGTGGAACCCTGGACCTCCCCTGGGACCAATTTGGCACGCCTGGCATGGATAGGAAAACATGGGTATGATGCCTAACAGCCAATGTTGTCTAAAACCGACAGCGGCCGCTGTTGGGCAAGCGACCTTTGTGAACCACGTCCGCGGCGGCACCCACAGCGATTCGGGCTTAAAATGGATAAGAATTGCTGTCGGCCTTCGTCACAGCTCTTTCCGTACCGATTTCGATTGTACCGACCAATTTTTCGTTCTGGGTTCTGTTTCGACGGCCCCAAGGTGCAAGAAGGGCCCCAACATTCAGACAACGGCAAAAAACCTATTTCCGAATACCCCTTCGCCTTCACGCCAATCCTTCTCCCCCGGCTTAGTGACTCCGGCATATTTCTTGGCTCCGGGACTCTATCACTGACCAGCTCCAATTACCCTCGGCCCTGGCTATACCCGAACTTGAGGAAACCAAAGGTACCGATACCGCTACTCCGCGGATCCTTCCGGGGTGCGCCCTGACCAAAATTTCGGGGCGAATCCAGCGGTGGCGACGAGGGCCTCCCGGGAGACGCCAAAAAGGGAAAACGAGGCAAGGCTACCGGTATCGATCTCTTTTCCTGGACCCTGCTCCCTGGCGCGCGGAGCGCGCCAGGGGCGGCGCCGGAGGCGCCGCCAGGGGGGTCCCAGCGCAGATCCAAGAAACCGTGCGGAGCGCCAAAAGTTCATGCTTATGGCGTTTTTTATTCTTAGATCTGAGAACTTCTCCTCGGGTGTTGCCGGAAGTGCCCTCGGCCCAAGGTGCCCCCGGGTCCTGCACACTGTGACAGCACCGACGGCGCAACTTGCGCAGTCTCCTCGCCCTTCTGGATATACTAGAATCGGCGGTGGACAAACCTCCCTTTAGTAGACCTCCCCTTAGTGAAAACGGTCTGGGACCGAAACCGACGGACCTGGACCCGCAAAAATGACGGCCGCGCCGCCCTCTCGCGAGCCGAAAACGGCCGATTCCTTAATCGACGTGTCAGGGTAGGAGGTCTGTCCACCCCCGATAGAAAGGTGCCCCTGGCTTCTCGCTCAATGTTGGAGTCTCTGGGGCCCCCTGGGCCTCGTGAGGTTTGCTCTGTGGAGGCCGTGGGGCCTCCTTGGGAATCCTGGGGGCACCTTGGGCCAGGGGCACTTCTATTTGGACGGCCCAAAAGGGGGTCCAGCTGAAAGGGGGTGGTGCAACAGATTTCGGGCAATTGGATCGCAAATGTATTGCGCAAGAGGACTGTATTGCATTGTATTGCAAGCGATGTATTGCACGCGAAAATCCAGCAATACATTGGCGCCCCGGAATGTATTGCACGCCCCAAATGTGTTGCACCAAATCTATTGCACCACACCCTTGTCGCTGGACCCCCTTTTGGGCCAACCCGATTCTAGCAACACCCGATCTCCCCCTCCAAAAGTCGCCCCCAGAGCTCTCCCTAGGGGAAGTTTTGACTGGAGGCTCGCAGGGGAAAACTCCGGCCGTGGCGGCGAGGGGCCTCCCGGAAGTCCGGGAAGCTCCCCCGGAGCTCCAAGCTCTCGGTCAATCGGGCCCCTTGAGGCCAGCTCCAAGCGCTCGAGCAGGGATCGACTACTGAGCTGATGAACCCCGACATTGAGGTTTCCTTCTGAGTTCAAGTTCGTGAATGGCATTCCATTCGAACGGAGACCCCTGATTTTACACCGGAATTGGTTCGGGGATTCGGCAGGAAAAGATGAATTTTGGGGTACATCGATCCTGTAGCCGATCCCCTGCTCGACCCTCGAGGCCAACTCCAAGCGCTGAAGCTCGGCGCGGCGCCTGTGGCCCGTGAGACCTGCCAAGGCTGATGCTGCTGCCGGTACGGTGAGGCTCCTGCACACCGTGACAGGACCGACGGCGCAACTTGCGCAGTCTCCTCGCCCTCTTCGGGATTTGCTAGAGGTGCCCCTGGCTTTTCGCCCAATGTTGCAGTCTCTGGGGTCCCCTGGGCCTCGTGAGGAGTGCTCTGGAGGCCGTGGGGGCCTCCTTGGAAATCCTGGGGGGCACTTCTAGCAACACCCGAACTCTGGACACGCTTCGGCCACCCGCGGGCGGGATCTCCCCGCTGACATGTCGGGGAGACGTAAGACTCGGGTTCGGGGGACTCGGGTTGGCCTGACGGGGCCGTCAAGATAATGATGAGACCCAATCTGAAATCCGACGCGATCTCCCGCTGCAGACATCCCAAAAAAACCAGACATCCCAGGAAAACGGAACCGTCAAAACTCAGGAAGGGCTCGTCAGAAAGCGTCGGCAACCCCGAGTTCCAGCGAACTCGCCACGAGCGGCGAAAGTCTCCATATCCGCGCCCCGGCGATTTGGATTCTGGAGCGCGATCTCGTGGATACGCGGTCGCACGGGTGCGTTCCGCGCGGGGCATCTCCCACAAAACGCCCTCTCTCCGCGGGGTTGCGGCGGGGGGCCTGGCCCGAGAGGCCGTGGATAAGCAGAACTCGAGCCCCGTGCTGCCCCGCACAGGACAGGAGGCGAGAAGGAGGGGGCAAACACCGGCAGCTCCTGTGCCGCAGGCCCCGGGGGCAGCACTGCCGCCAGGGACGCGGCGCCTCGGGAGCGAAGCAGGAAGATGTGATAAAACACAGGGGGGGGTGTCGGGCGCCGCTCGCCATGCAGCGCGCGCGAAAAGGGAAAAGGCGACCACAAGGGTGGCATCACGTGGGGGGCGTCATCTCACCTGTGGCTCAACCCAGGAGTCCGCTGCGCACGCGCTCTAGACAGAGAGCACCTGGGGAGACAAAAAGGCACCGATGCAGCTGCTCCCCAGACCTCTCCCGGGGTGCGTTCTGACCAGAACTTCGACACGAATCAAACGGTGGCAACGGTGGCGACGAGGGCCTCCCAGAAGGCCCCAAATGGCGAGAACGGGGCGAGGGCAGCGGCATCGCTACCCTCCCCTCCTCGGAGCACCGGCGTGGCGGCCTCGACGCTCCCCTCGCGGGAAGCAGCGCCAGGCGACGGCGCGGCGCGCTCGCGAGCCAGGCCCCGCCGCGAGTGCCCAGGGCTGGACACCATGTCTCGGGCTGGGCGAAAGGGGGGGTATAGCAAAGGGGGGGCTTGAGAATCGGCTCACGTAGCTGATTTTCCCGGCGCCTCCCGGCGCCGGAGGCGGCCAGGTATCGAGGAAGGGGCCCCTCGGTGGGGCCGAAACCAGCCACATGCAGCGAATTTCGCACCCCCCCCTTTCCCTGTCCCCCCCCTCTCGTCCGGCCCGAATGTCCGCCCCGCTGCCGAAGAGGAAGCCCGACAGCTCCCGCGCGACGCCGTCGTCGAGGCCGCCGGTGAGCGTGCGGGCCGTGCCCTGGCCTCGGGAGCCGCTGGTCCCGGAGCGGCTCGGGGGACGGCTCTCCCGGCCTTGGTGGGCCCCGGAAGCGGCAGGGCCGTTCTTTGCAGTCCTCATAATTCGAGTCATCGGCCTGACCTAAGGAACGATAAGCAAGCAACGAAGCCCCTCTCTTTCCCAAGGAATAACGCACAAGGAACGATGCATATAAATATATATATATATACATATATATATATATGTATCTATCTATCTATCTATCTATCTATCTATCTATCTATCTATCTATCTATCTATATAAGAATAGCGCAGAAGGAGCGATAATAGCGCATGCGAGCCTACGGAGCGACCGAACCCCTTTGGAAAAGCAGGTGTTCCTTACTCAAGCCGCGCACTGTACAACCCGCCGCCTCTTGATGGCGAAGGCGGCCCAAGAACGGTTCACCGAAACGGTAACAACAACGGTTCACCGAAATGGCCTGGGCGGTCCGGGGACCCGAAGGACGTCCGGAACCGGTTCGAAAACGGCTCGGATCTGGACCAGGCCCCCGCCCGGGGAACTGCAAGCAATAAAACGACGGCGCCAGGCACGTACCGTAACACAACTGCGTCGGAAAGTGCATGGAACTGGAGAGGCAACCACGGTGACAAAAAATCAGAGCCCCGTCGCTCCCTGGGCCCTCCGAGCTCCCGGCTGCAGCTGGAGCCGCAGCTGCTGCTGCTGCTGCTGCTGCTCGACACGTCGTCGCTGTCGGCCCCGCCCCCGTCGCCGTGTGTCTGCGCGGGCTGGCCGGGCGGACGCCCGGGCGATCGGCCCAGGGCCATGCTTTGGTTGCGTGATGAGCGACCCCTGGCCAGAGAGAGCATGACTGCCCATGTCGGGGCTGGGCGTAGGCTGACAGCTCTCTGCCGCTAGATGGTCAACTGTGAGCCGCGTCTGCGTCGCAGAGCGGCAGGGCTGGGAGGGGGGGGGCTGGGAAGGGGCATGTCACTACTGAGCGAACTCTTGCCCCGATCTGTGGCCGCCGCGATCGCCGCGGCGACCTGCAAAAACCGATCCGGCGGCTTGGTTCGAGGTCGGACATCACGCAACGACGCTTGGAAGAAGGAATGCGGTGAGGGCATTGGATAAGGAACCAATGGTTAAGGAATCCAGGGTCTCGAAGCCAGTGGAACTTCGATAGTGGAGTGGCCATGGATATCACCGCCGCCCTTTTTAGATAAGGAAGCCCCCAGGGTCTGAAGCCTCCTGAGCACATTCCTTCAACGCCCCCACCGTAACTGCACGGGCACAAGCTTTCGGAGCTCCGCGCGGATTTCCTGGATCGGCGCTGGCGCCCCCCCACCTGGCTGCGCCCCTTGCGCCAGAGGGGCGCCGCGCCAGAGAGGCGCCGCCAGGGGAGGCCCAACGCCCCGATCCAAGAAATCCGCGCTGAGCTCGAAAGATCAATGGTTACGCAGTTCTTTCTTCCACGAGTGCTGCCGCCGGTTCCCTCTTGATCACTCTGGCCTGCCGTCTTCGAGTCCCGGAGGCGTTTTCGCCGTCGCCTCCTCCTCGACTTCGATGACTCCCCCTGCGGTTTTCGTCCAGTCAGGTACGTAAAGGTTGTGATGCCTGCCCAGCAGAGGTAAGTGTGAAAGGCCAAGAGGGTGCAGAGCAGCAGCCACAAGGGAGTATTGACCACAAGGGCTATTATGATGATAGTCAGGGTGGCGCCTTCCCCGAGGCCGTACAAGGACAGCTGGTATCTGGAAGTACCAAACACGACCAACAGGACAACACATGCAGCAATTACGATGGCCATGGCTATGGTCAGCGAACTCGCAGCGGCGTAAAACAAATTATAGTTCCTGTGGCCGATGCAGGTGTTCAGCCAAGGGCAGTGGTGGTCGAATCCGTCCACGCACTTGTTACAGTCCCAGCAGTGCTTGCTGTCTGTTTCCACAGAGGAGTCACAGAAACGACAATACAAATAATCGCTGTCATCCTCCGAAGACGAGGTAATGCCCGCCTCCTTGTCTCCGACGACAGGGTCGACTGGGTCCAAGTACATCGTAATAAGACCCGTCGCAGCCGCTGTCAGCCACGCTACCGAAAAAGATCCCATCAAGGCCCACCGAAGGCTTCCACGCAGTAGTGGCCCCAGGAACGCGGAGAAAAGCATCACGTCCACCAGGCAGACAGACACCGTGAGCGACTGCCTGCGGGAGAGTGGCCAACTGAATCCATTTATGCGCCGCCTCACCCTCTCGGCATCTGCGTCCGAGCTCACCACGGGCATGTGTCGGCTAGACGCAGGCCTGCTCCTGGGCAGGGGCGACCTCCGGTGCGCGGCTACCGGCTAGACGCAAGAGCGACCCCAGGGACGAGCGACCCCTGGTGCGCGGCCTGCCCATCGTGGCATCTGAGCGTTTTCTTAGTCGGCGCTTCGACATTGGGCGGAAAGGGGGAGGGGGAGCAGGGGGTCTGGCTCCGGACCCTTGCTGAATGTGACTGTTTGCAGCAGTGCGTCCTATGGGAAAGAGACTCCACCTACTTGAAAGAGGCGCCAAACCTAGCCAAGATCTACTCCAGGGGGGGGGGAGGAGGAGGAGGAGGAGGAGGAGGAGGAGGAGGAGGAGGAGGAGGAGGAGGAGGAGGAGGAGGAGGAGGAGGAGGAGGAGGAGGAGGAGGAGGAGGAGGAGGAGGAGGAGGAGGAGGAGGAGGAGGAGGAGGAGGAGGTGGAGGGGAGGCGGAGGAGGAGGGGGAGGAGGAGGAGGAGGGGGCGGAGGAGGAGGAGCGGGAGGAGGAGGAGGAGAGGAGGAGGAGGAGGAGGAGGAGGAGGAGGAGGAGGAGGAGGAGGAGGAGGAGGAGGACCAGGGGGGGGCGAGGGCGAGGGCCCGCACTTAACCTCCCCGCGCCCACCGAAGGCCGCGCACCAAAGATCACTCCTTCGGCGCGGGCCGCTCCTTCGGCGCGGACCACTGCAGCACGATGCAGGCGGCCCGCGGACCCCGATGGACCTGGGCCAGCCGGCGCTCCTCCGCTCGGCGGCGACCGAGGGGGGGGGGGGAAGCGAGGAGGAGAAGGCCTTCTCAGAAGGCGGCGGGCCTTCTGCGAAGCCCTCGCACCTTCTGAGGTTTTTGTTTTTGTTGAACATTATTACTTCTAAAGAATAATTATTGTTGGGGCCCCTGGTGCACGACCCCCCCGCCGCGCCTAGGCCGCAGCCTCATTTTCATCATTTTCGTGAGGAAGTCTCAGGCAAAACGGGGGAGTCCGGATCCGGTTGTGTTGTTACGATCGGTTTTCCCTTGCAAAAAAAAAGAGCTAAAGTGGACATTTCTTGTTCTAACATAACCAAACTTCAAGAATCCCTTGCAAAAAATAAGGTAAAGTGGACATTCGCGCGCGCAAGACGAAATCCTTCCAAAACCTTAGTTTTCGTAGCGATTTTAACATAAAAACATCAAAAAACCAATGGTTTTTCAAAAAAAATTGTCAAAATTCATCCCGCGCGCTCTTGCGGATTCGTAGGAAACCCAACACTTTTTAAACATTTCTGTCAAACGGGCTTTTGCGAGCAACTTTTTCGAACTTCTGCAACAACGGTTGCGCACCTGCCAGGGCCATCATCCCTGTCAAATAATACCATGCGGGACACATTCGTTTTTTCTTCGCGCGCGCACGCCGTCGTCGTCGGCCGCGGGGCCCTGAATAGTAGCCACGGTCGTCCGCATGCCACGAAGTGAAGTGTCCGAACGTCATAGGGCGGGAAGCTGGGTGTGGGTGGTGGCGAAGAGTCGTTTGGAAATTTGGTAGAGCTTGAACCGGCCCCCCCACAAAGTGGGGGTATTGCCCGCCTCCTATGAAAACCCTGGCACTGGTGAGAACGGAGTGTCCCCACGTGCTAGTATTGTTGTTGTTGTTGTTGTTGTTGTTGTTGTTGTTGTTGTTGTTGTTGTTGTTGAACATTATTCTTCTAAAGAATTATTATTGTTGGGACCCCTGGTGCACGACCCCCCCGCCGCGCCTAGGCCGCAGCTACATTTTCATCATTTTTTCGCGAAAGCTTCAGAAAAGTGGATGAGCTCCGGATCCGGTTTTTTGTTGACGCTCGTTTTCCCTTGCAAAAAACAATATAAAATGAAAATTCTTGTTTTTACTTGATCAAATTGCAAGAATCCCTTGCAAAAAATAAGGTAAAGTGGACATTCGCGCGCAAGACGAAATCCTTCCAAAACCTTAGGTTTCGTAACGATTTTAACATAAAAACATCAAAAACCCAATGGTTTTTTAAGAAAAAATTGTCAAAATGTCCTTCCGCGCGCTCTTGCGGATTCATAGGAAACACACCACTTTTTAAACATTTCTGTCAAAAGGGTCTTTGCGTGCTACTTCTTCAGGTGCTTTGAACTTCTCCAACAACGGTTGCGCGCCTGCGAGGGCCACCATCCCTTGCAAAAAATGAGACGAAGTGCACATGCGCGCGGCCGCCGCGCGCGCATGTCGAAATCCTGCCAAACACAATGGGTTTTCAATAATTTCAAGATGCGATGTTCAGAAAACATATGAAAACGCACTACTTTCTCATCCGAAAAATCTCGAAATCCATTCGCGGTCTCTTGATGAATCTTTAAAACCCAAGATGGCCCCAACAGGCGCGCAAGATGGCCCCAAGAGTGTCCAGAGCCGCGCCCAAGATGCGTTCTTCCTTTCTCGCTTCTCTCCTTTCCTCCTTGTCCTGCTCCTCCTCCCCCTCTTCCGCCTTGGAGCCGTATTGGAACTGTCGATGGCCATCTCCCTTTCTCCCTCGCATGTCTGCTTGTACATACGTATAATTTCAGAACTTACCGTGCATGCGATCGTTTACAACATGGTGGACCGTGCGTATGTCACGAACCTTGTATACATGTGTTTCTCTCCCTCCGTCTGGCTGTGCACGCGCGCGTTGGGCACTGAGAGTTAGGATCATAGCGCCATGAGTCTATGAGCAATGCATGCGTCATCCTTGGGACTGTATAACATCAGTGTAACACATGTACTTCTGTAATCGCATCCCCACGAATTTGCCCCAAAAATGTGACCAACTATCTTGGCACTGCGTACCATCTCACGTGTACCGTGTACCACATCATATGTAACAGATGTGATCAACCTCTGTGGGTGTGTACCCCACGCCAGTGTAGTAGCCAGGGTCGTCCGCACGCCACGAAGTGAAGTGTCCCAACGTCATAGGGCGGGAAGCTGGGTGTGGGTGGTTTCGAAGAGTCGTTTGGATATTTGGTAGAGCTTGAACGGCCCCCCCACGAAGTGGGGGTATTGGCTGGTGTCGCAAGAAAACCCTGGCACTGGGGAGAACACTGAGCGTTCGGGTAAAATGATTGTTGTTGTTGTTGTTGTTGTTGTTGTTGTTGTTGATGTTGTTCTGTCTCCAGGGACGGCTTCGGAAACTTCTCAGAAGGCTGGGGAACTTCCTACCCTTCTGAGAATGCTCGCCCCTCCTCGCTTCCCCCCTCGCTCGCCGCCGAGCACGAGGGACCCCAGGCACGAGCGACCCCTGGTGCGCGGCCTGCCCATCATGGCATGACATGCGACGGCCCGCGTGCTTCGGCTTGGCATCCCCGTGCCCACAAGGCCGCGCACCAAATATATACCTCCCGCGGAGGGCCACTCCTTCAGCGCGGACCACTGCAGCAAGATGCGGGCGGCCCGCGGACCTCGATGGACCTGGGCCAGCGGGTGCTCTGACGGGCCCAGTCTCCACAACCACTACCGTAGGTAGGAGAGGGAGGAGGAGGGGTAGTAGTAGTAGTAGTAGTAGTAGTAGTAGTAGTAGTAGTAGTAGTAGTAGTAGTAGTAGTAGTAGTAGTAGTAGTAGTAGTAGTAGTTTGTAGTAGTAGTAAGTCAGTTGCAGTAGTAGTCGTCGTCGTAGTAGTCGTTACAGTGAGTGTTGTCGTTGTCGTTGTCGTCGTTAGTCGTAGTCGTTAAGTAGTTGTAGTAGTAGTAGTGTAGTGTGTAGTAGTAGTAGTTAGTAGTAGTTGTAGTAGTTGTTAGTAGTAGTAGTAGTTGTAGTTTAGTTGTTGTAGTAGTTGTAGTAGTAGTAGTAGTAGTAGTAGTAGTAGTTTTAGTAGTAAGTAGTAGTTAGTAGTAGTAGTTAGTAGTAGTAGTATTTTAGTTGTTTTATAGTAGTAGTAGTTAGTAGTAGTAGTAGGAGTTTATATTGTTTAGGTAGTACGTAGTAGTAGTAGTAGTCTTGTAGTAAGTTGTTCTAGTAGTAGTAGTAGTTAGTTGTAGTGTTGTTGTAGTAAGTAGTTAGTAGTTTGTAGTGTATAGTTGTTGTAGTAGTAGTAGTAGTGGTAGTAGTAGTAGTAGTAGTAGTAGGTAGTAGTAGGTGTAGTAGTAGTAGTAGTAGTAGTAGGTTTGTAGTAGTAGTAGTAGTAGTAGTGTAGTAGTAGTAGTAGTAGCGAGCAGTTAGTTTGTTGTTGTAGTAGTAGTAGTAGTAGTAGTGATAGTAGTAGTAGTAGTAGTAGTAGTAGTTGTAGTTTAGTTGGTGGATGGAGGAGGAGTGAGCGGAGGTGGAGGAGGAGGAGGGGAGGAGGGGGAGGAGGATGAGGAGGAGGGGGAGGTGGAGGAGGAGGAGGAGGAGGAGGAGGAGGAGGAGGAGGAGGAGGACCCTCCCTGTCCTCCCTTCTCCCCCGTTCTACCTGTCGGTAAGTGGTGGTGGACAACCTGCCCATCATGCTCCTCCACGGACACCGCCGAGCGGCGGACGGGCACGCGTTACCGCACACCCCGCAGGAGCCTCGGCGGCCCACCGCAGGCCCACCGGCGCTGCCTTGGCGGGGGCGGCCAGAGGCCAGCTCGGGCAAGCGCTGCTGCGGTGCCTCGCGGTGCCGCTTCGCGCTCCTTTCGCGCTCCGCTCCTCGTCCACACAGGCCCTCCCTCCTCTCCCCTTCTCCCCCCCTTCTGCCCTTGTCCCTTTCTCCTTCCCCCGTCTCCCCCCTTCTGCCCCGATGTCCCCCCCCTCTCTCGTCCCCCCTTGCTCTTCCCGTGTCTTCCTGCGCACACAGCCGCAACAATCTGACCTCAGTGCTGGTCAAACATATTCGCTGGTATCGCTTTCGCTCTGTTTCGGACATGATTATCGTATCATGTGAGAGTTGTGTTCTCTTCCCTTTGCGTCGCCAAACATTATCTTCCTTCCCCTTCCCACATATATTCTGACTGCTGTTTGCTTTGTCCTTGTGCGCAGCCCCACGGTACACAATTCACTCGTGTGTAGATTCCCCAAATCAAGCTTGCACTCAAGGGGTTCTTGCTCGGGTTCCTAAAGGAATTTGATGGGTCAACGGAAGACTCGTCTCGTTTCCGCCCGTGGGCGCCTCGTTGGCGCCACGTGTACTGGGTGGGTCGGCCAACGCTTCGCCTGGTGTCCGCCCGTGAGCGCCTCGTGGGCGCCTCGACCGCTAGCTGGGTCGGCCAACGTTTCGCCCGGTGCCAGCCCGTGGGCCTCTTGGGTGCTTCATATGCTGGGTGGTCCAGCCGAGGTTTTGCCTGTTGCTCGCCCGTGCGCTGGTCGGCCGCACAGCTTGCACCACACAACTTGCACCACAGATATCGCCCCGCGTATGGTGCACCACAAACTTTTCATCACCGATCTTCTACTGTATGGTCTACACATACATGGCATGGGTTACGCTACATAGTTCGCACCACTCTCCATGCACCACATAACTTGCACCACACAGCTTGCACCGCCCAGCTTACACCACACAAGTTGCACCACATATCCTATATCACATCACATAGCTTGCACCACACAATCTTGCGCAACATACTGCTTAGCTTACACACGCACGCCCAACATACTTAGCTTGCACCACATAGCCTGCATCACACAGCTTGCACCACGTAGCTTGCGCCACCCAACTTGCATCGCCATCGTGCAATGACCAGCTGGTTAATGATCCACGCTGGCATTGTGTACATGTCACTCTCTATCTATATTTACGTATAAACATAAAACAAGCATGTCGGGCATGTTCGCCAGCACGGTGGAAGTGACAACTCTGCGGTGCAATCTAGATGTCGCAAGCTAGGTGTTGTGTTATATATACGCCTCTCCTACTTCTAGGTCGGCCCAGAATCCCTGCCACGCTGGACGATTACGGATCTCTGTGCCCACTTTTTCATGCAGCAGGCGAGCTACACATTCGAATCCTTCCGAAGCGAGGCAGTACAGACAGCTCGCGAGGAAAGAACGCAAAGGCTTTGCACAGAAGACGCTCCCATACCACAAGCATTTACTGGATGCCTCTTGGAATGACTGAAAAATAAAAGCCTCCGCTGCCGCAGCCTTTCGGGCAAGGTCTGCGGGAAAGCGAGCTGCTTGCAGAGGGAGCCGACCGCTCGTTTCGCATTGCTTCGCAGACTTGGGATGGGCCCGTCGGCCTCGTTTCTGAGCTGAAGCAAGACTGTGAGACCCTACGAGAACGTCATGACTAGGAGCAGAGTGTCTGGCCACATGGGGTGTCAGGGGGCCTAGCATGCCAAGGAGCGAACGGCTAAACTTTCTAAAGGGAGCCTTGTACTTAGCCAAGGTCAGGCTTGGGAAAACAGAGTCGTCTGAGCTGGCGTTTGCTCCGCCATGTCGAGCCCACATGTCCAGCGCGGAGCCAATCCACTCACGGTCCGGCGAATCGAGCGCGACCGTGTCGTCGCTCTCGCCGGTCTTTGTGGTCTCGCCGGGGTCGGAGTTCCGATGACCACGGCTCATCTTGCACGAGCCAGTCTTGAAGAGATCGCAGACGGTCGAACCACTGAACACCAGCGCAGCTCGCATATTCGGAGGGTCTCAGGCAGGCGTCCAGCTGGATGGCAAGGGCAACCGCATCGCCCACGTGGTCGTCCTGCAGGAAAACGACCACGAAGAGGAAGATGACGCAGAGCGGCCATGGATGTTGAGGAGAGCCTGGCAAGGAGGTTAGGAAACCCCACAACGCGTACCGCCCTTCAGCAGGATGCCGGGTGTCGCTCATGAGAATGTCAAAATACTTGCGCATCAATAGGTCAATCTTGGATTCGGGGGCCCATTTTAGATCCTCTGTGCGCGTGGCCCAGTCGAAGAAACCTCGAACAGCAGCTCAATGTCGTTCTAAAGAGACCGCTGTGATAGACCCAAAGCGTGCAACGCCGCCATCGACCGGAACCGGGGCGCGAGGCCCAAAGGTGAGGTTCCTGCCCTTGATGGCTTCCACGAAGTCGCAGGCGCGGGAGCGCCGGCCAGCGGATTTTCTGGCCTCTGAGGGCGCGGGCCGCTTGCTTCCGGGCTGCCTCGAGGTTGGAGTCCTGGCCGAAGATGATGTACGGCCGGAGGTGATCGTACCTACTCTCGAGGGTGTTCGGGTCGGCGGCTGCGACGAGCCCGAGGTCAGGTTCCGCCTGAAGCCGCTGCCGAGTCGGTCGGAAGCGTCCGCGGGCGCGTGAAGCCGGCCGTCGCACAGCATCGCGTAGCCGAGCTTGGAGGTCACCGCCGTCCGGAGCGTCAGGACTGCCTTGGGCGCCCGCAGGCGCTGTCATGGAGGCGGCGCGTGCCCGTGCCGTGCAAGGGGCGCGGTTCGGTTGCGAGAGACCCGAGCCCCCGATGGCAACGTCACTGATTCAAAACAACGAAGTTCCACATGAACGTGATCTCTTGAACACACAGAAGCCAGGGGCGACAGAGCGAAGACATTCGTGAGGAGCGCCGTCGGTTTCAGATGTGAGGCCCCATAACTACAGTGCGCGAATAGCACGCGAAATGCATCAGGCAGACCTGCGAGCTCCCGCGCGGGGTCAAAGTCCCAGAGCCTCGAGGATCTTGGGTTCTCAATGCTCCAGAAAACTCCGTTTCTTGAACAGTCGTAAGCCACGCGACAACTGAACAGGGCCAGGGCGACACCGATACGTTCTTTCTGACGAGCTTCATCATGATCTCGTATGTTGTGCCGAGCCCGAGACCAAACACAAGGGGCACCCATATGTACATACCAAAAGAGTCCCCTCCGAAGACCTTCCAAGATGATGAGCTGGACCGCGGGGTCCAAGATGTCATAGTGGGGTCCATCTTTGATGTCCATGCAGGGGAACGTCCTCAGGTTGAGCTCCTCGAAGGCCTCCGAGAGCCCGCCCTCCCCCGAGAGCAGCTCCAGAAAGCCATGGCCACGTCGGGCCCGCCTCAGAAGTTCAGTATGTCCCAGACGAAGATCGGGGCCGGCGGATTGAGTAGTCGCCGAAGGCGTCGACGTGGATGATGGGCAGGACGACCGATGAGATTGATCGGCGCGCGACTCTTGAGGTTGCAGTTCTGGCGCTGTATTACTCTCGACGCCGGCGGGCGGATGCCCTGCGAGGCCGAGTTCAGGAGGCAGGGGGCCTATCTCCGCTATCTGGCCAAGGGAAGAACGATAAGGGGAGAATGTTGAAGCGTCTGTCTTATCATGTTGAAGGTGGCCTTTGTTGGGGGCGGTCCGCTCGAAGCGACGAGACGGTTCGTCGGCAACGTTGAACTTTGTGTTGACATACCGTAGCCTCCAACGCACTCTACATCCGATAGTGTAGGCAGCCGCGCGTCGGCATTGCGCGTTCAGGGCTGCTGAGCGGCTGGGCCGCCCCTTATCCAGGCAGCCAACACAGACCATGGAATCCACGATTGAAACAAGGCGGCGTCCGCTGTTGCGGCGGACGCGGCAGGCATGTCGGAGCCCGATCACAGCGGCGCGGGTCTCCTTCACATTGATGTGTTCGCCCGGCCAGCGCCGGCGCTTCGAGGCAACCAGCCTGAAGCCCTCAGGGTCGAACCACGAGGCCGGGGGCGGCGGGGGCCGACCTCCGGCATGGCGTCATCGTCATCGGCACAACCACTGACATGGTGTCGGGCGCGACGAGGTCGGGCTCGAAGATGGCCAGCTGACGGTGAGCCGCCCTCCGCCTTGGCCTGCATCCACCGGCCGAAGGCGGTTGCTGGGCCAGCGCCGCTGTAGGGCGAGGAGGCTGGACATCGGAGCCCAGCCTCGCTGCCGCTCGTGCTTGAAACTTGAGGCTCGCAGCGGGGGTCTGTCGGGCCGTAGCCCCCCCCCATGTCGGCAACATCCGAGGGAGAGACCAGGCCGACGCGAGGGCCTCGAAGATGCTGCCGGAAAACTCCACTTCTCCTTCCAGCGGTTGGCCGTGCGGAGCTCATCGGCGCGGGCCCTCTTGTTCATGAGCCCGTGCCCGAGGTCGGCGGAGTCGCTGGCGTGCACGCCTGGCACGTAGGGCGCCGCCAGGTTCGCCTCCGTCAGCCACGCAAGGCCCACCACGATGCGCATCTCCTGCTTGACCTCCCGGTGCAAAGCGGTGCGCTTGCCCCAAGCCGACTCCGCGAGCCGGTAGGCGGCTGACAGCGCGGCGTAGCCTGGCCGGGCGAGCATCAACAGAAGAGATTGCGTGCCCCAGCCAGACCTCCATGTGCTCGCCACGCATCTTGCCTCGTGCCAGGAGGGCCCGAGTGGCCAGGTCAAATCTCCAGATGCGAGAAGCTTTGTTGCGGAGGCGCCCGTGCTTGAGGTCAAGCTCGATCCCCGCCGTCAGCCCAGCAGATCATGGGCAGCTCGCACCGGTCGGCCTCCCCTTGGAGAGCCGAGCTGGCCTCGCGAGCCACCTGGAGGATCGGAAGCTGGGCAAAGACGGGCCTTGGATGGCTCCCGCGAGCTTTCTTGGGTAATGCTCTCCCGAGGACCCGAAAGCTCAACTTGGGCTATGCCCGCATGCCATCAATCTAGTACATGCCTGTGCACATGCTTTGCTGGCGAATCGCGCACTGCGCTGATCGCGATAGGTCCTCATGCGGCCAATCGCGTACCATTGCTGTGAATTGTGTTGAGTTGCATGCATTTGCATCAAAATTTCTTACCATCGCCCGATCGCAGCCTGTTGCAATCGTCCTGCGTTGCGTTGCATGGCGTTGCGCACATCATGACCGCGCTCCCGTCATCGAATTAACATACAAATCACACATGCAACACCTATATAACAAAACTTTCGGGGTGCATGGTAGATGCGTCGCATGCCCCGCATCCCAGCGGATTTTCGTCAGCATGGGGTCAGGAGAGCGCTTCGGCTCGAGATGTCCGGGAAATTCTGGCACGACCGCATTCCCACCCCAACAGAACCCGAGGGGTCCAGCGATGGGTCCTCGCTGACAGAACGAGAAGGTTCTGATGCTCCAGAGGACGGCATGTTCCCTGCAAATGCATGTCGTCGCCGTCGCCGTCGTCCTCGCTTCCCTCCTTGTCCTCTTCCTCCTCTTATGACGGTATTGCTGCATGTGCACCCTCTATAGAGGTGGCCCCGGGAGCCCTTGAGGGGCCCTTTCCTGTCGCCACGGCCGCGCGCGCGCTTCGTTAATGACGCAAGCTCGGGCAGCGCGTCATTTCTCTCATGCGCGGCCCCACAGTCAGCGGACGGGGCCGCGCATGCGAGAAATGACGCACTGAGGCACGCAGCGGGCACAGCTGCTCGAGGTGCTTCAGCATGGGTCAAGGTAAAAGCTGTGAGAAAAATGCCTTGGGAATGGGGTCGCCAATGGGGTCGAGAGCTTCCGGAGCCCATGTCACGAGCAAATTTGGTCAGGAGCTTCCGGAGCCCATGCCACCAGCCCTGTAGGCGTGGGTGGTTTAGGGCGTTTCCTCTTCCACCCCTCCTTCTTCCCCTTCGGGGAGGGTTTTACCCCTCCCCCTGCCCTGGACCTGGACAGGGTCCAAAACGGCCTCGGCGAGGAAGCCAAAATCATTGGTTTTACTAGGGTTGTGGCCCCATGTTGGCCTCCTGAGGAGGAGGGCCCTAAGTCAAGCTCCCCATTTTGTTTGATCGATCTCCTCCAAGATGGCCCCAAGAAGCGCCCAGGAGGCCCCAAGAGGTCCCAAGATGGCCCCGAGATGGCCCCAAGAGGCCCCCAAGAGGCCCCCAGGAGGTCCACAAAAGGATCCCAAGCGGCCCAAAGAGGCCCCCCCGAGGCACCCAAGACCCCAAAGAGCCCCCAAGGATCGCCAAGAGACACCCAGGACGTCCCAAGAGGCCACCAAGAATCGCCCAAGAGATACCCCAACAGGCTCCGAGAGGTATCCAAGAGACCTCTGGCCCTTGTGCTTGCCCTCCTCCTCCTCCTCCTCCTCCTCCTCCTCCTGTTCCTCCTTCCTCCTCCTACTCCTTCTCTTCCTCCTCCTCCTCCTCCTCCTCCTCCTCCTCCGCCTCCTCCTCATCCTATTCATCCTCCTTCTTCCCACTCCCTCATCCATCCGTCCATCCACCTCCTCCTTCTCCTCCTCACTCCTTTGCACTTCCCTGATCACCTCAACTCGCCTGGACATCGTTTCTGGATGGGCTAGTGGGGATACGCGAAGCGTCTAAAATTTCGGAAGATTCTGCGTGCTTTGGTGGGGGCGTCGGTTAAGTAACGTGCCCTGGAGGCGTCAAACACTGGGGGGCTCCTCATCTGAAGAGGGCGACGGCGATATCATGGCCGATCCACATTCAAAGTCCTGGCTTCCAGACCGCGGATTCCTTGTTCAAGGTTCCCTAGGCCCCCCCGTCGCCATGCCGCGCCCCGAGCTGGCTCCGAGCAGGGCGCGCGCGCGCCCCTTGCGCCCGACACGCGGGCGCCATCATGGTTGATCAGTGCGCCCGCCTGCTCGACCCCCCCGGCCCCGGCGAGCGAGAGCGGGGAGGAGGAGGAGGATGAGATGATGATGATGAAGATGATGATGATGATGAGGAGGAGGAGGAGGAGGAGGAGGAGGAGATGGAGGAGGCGGAGGAGGAGGAGGAGGAAGAGGAGGGGGAGGAGGAGGGGGAGAGGGAGCGCCAGCGCGAAGAAGGAGAACAACGAGGAGAGGGAGCAGGAAGACCGGGGAGATGGCGGCAGGGGGGGTAGGGGCTAAGAGCGAAGGGTGGACCCAAACAAGTGTGGAGGAGCAAGCACTGAGCAGTTCAGAGTAGGAGGCGAGGTGAGAAGGGGGAGGGGGAATGTGGCACTAGGGAAACCCCTGCATCGGTTGGCAGGCATTCTGGCTTCGAGTTGTTTGTTGTTCATATATGCGGATATGGAAGCACTGATTGATACGCCCACCTGGAAATCATGTAAGTCGAGGCGTGTCGGATGGCGTTCAGATGAAGCAGCTCGCTTGGGACAAGAATTTATGCATCATTTCCCCCTGCTGGCTAAAAACTTGGTGATGTCTGGCAACTACAAAGGAGGTGCACTCGTGAAGGCTCCCAAGAGCGATGCGAATCCATCTATCTCTGAACTTGAGCAGAATGGATCATGCTGTTGCATCTACGCCGCCCCTTAAAAAAAACTGAGGATGCTGAATCGACGGCCCCGACCCCCGCATGAAATTAGGTTTTGTTTTCGAATGGCTGCAACGCGCCTGAAACCTGAATTTCGGGGTGCGGTTTATGTGCACCTCCGCCCCGTCATGAAACTCTACCAATCCAGATTGCCGAGCCCGTATCTCGTCGCCGACGCATTGTTGGAAATGGACAAAGAACTCGGAGGACACTTGCTGAAGATCCCAGGCAAAACACACGAGACTACGACCCGTGGAGAAAAAGTAGACCTCGCTCTCATGGATGCAAAAGAAATCAAACGATTGTGTTCGTACGTCCGTTATCTTGCACGAGGGGGGCCCAACTCCCACTCAGAGAAAGTGAAAGACCTCAAGTCATTCGTGAAATTCGATAGCAGGGACAAAGGGAGCGAGAGTGATACCGATCCTGATTCATTGCCACGGCCAGCCGAGGGGACTGCAAGGCCACGCGTGGCCCCGATGAGCCCGGTCCCCGAGGAGGTCGAGAATGAAGCGCCGCCTCTGGAGCCTGCGGGGGCGCCTGCAGAGCCTGGGCCCATGGGGCCCATCGACGACGCCGAGGGCGAGGTGGTCGTGTGCATCGACGATTCGCCGATCCCCGAGGACCGCTCATTTCCGATCTCTTCCTTGTCCCCTTTGCCTCCTCCATCTTCTCCACCATATCCCTCTCCCCCCGTCCTCGCACCGCCCGCTCGCCCTGCCCCGTTCCCCCTCGTCGGGGGAGGAGCGGGAGAAACCCTGCTCACCTCCGCCTCCCCTCCCTGTCGCCGAGCCCCCTTTTTCTTACCCTGTACGTCACCTCCCGCCCTCTGCTACTCCTTTCCCTTCCCGCCTGCCCTCGTCCATCTCCTCTCGAGCGTCGTTGCTTAAAACTGTCTATCAGGACGTCGAGACGCTGCCGACGGTCGAGTCGCTGCCGACGCCCGCCACCATGCCAGGCGGCCCCGAGGAGGAGCAGGCCGCGCTGTTCGACGTCGGTTGCATCACGGGGCTCGACAAGCTGATGCAGCAGCCCCCGGACTCGTGCCCCGACGACGCGCTGATTGACGAGAGCCAGCTTGATGGCCGCAAGGGGCGCCGCTCCGAGAACGACGAGCAGCAGCAGCAGCAGCAGCAGCAGCAGCAGGAGCAGCCCCTGGACTCGTGCCCCCGCAGCGCGCTGATTGACGAGAGCCAGCCTGATGGCCCCAGGCACCGCTCCGAGAACGACGAGCAGCAGCAGCCCCCGGACTCGTGCCCCGACGACGCGCTGATCGAGGACAGCCACCCTGATGGCCACCTGGGGCACCACCACGACATCAAGCCGATGCAGCAGCCCCCAGACTCGTGCCCCCACGGTGCGCTGATTGACACGAGCCAGCCTGATGGCCGCACTGGGCGCTGCTCCGAGAACGTCGAGCAGCAGCGGCAGCAGCCCCCAGACTCGTGCCCCCGCGACGAGCTGATTGACGAGAGCCAGCCCGATGGCCAACTGGGGCGCCGCTCGGACACGGTCGAGCAGCAGCAGCAGCAGCAGCAGCAGCAGCAGCCCATGGACTCGTGCCCCAGCGACGAGATGATTGACGAGGGCCAGCCTGATGGCCACATGGGGCGCCGCTCGGACACAGTCGAGCAGCAGCAGCAGCAGCAGCAGCAGCAGCAGCAGCAGCAGCAGCAGCAGCCCATGGACTCGTGCCCCCCCGACGAGCTGATTGACGAGAGCCAGCCTGATGCCCACATGGGGCGCCGCGCAGACACAGTCGAGCAGCAGCAGCAGCCCATGGACTCGTGCCCCCCCGACGAGCTGTTCGACGAGAGCCAGCTTGATGGCCACATGGGGCGCCGCTCGGACACAGTCGAGCAGCAGCAGCAGCAGATCTTGGACTCGTGCCCCCGCGACGAGCTGTTCGACGAGGCCCAGCCTGAGCCCGATGAGGCCTTGGGAAGGGAAGTGGGCCGTTGACCCCGTGGGGGGGGGGGGGGCGTCGACACCCCGTGCATGTATAATACCTACCTACCTACCTACCTACCGGCCGACCTACATACATACATACATACATACATACCTACCTACCTACCTACCTACCTACCTACCTACATACATACATACATACATATATACATACATACATACATACATACATGCATGCATACATACATACATACATACATACATACATACATACACACACATGCATGCATGCATGCATACATACATAATTACATACACGCATGCATACATACATACCTACAAACATAC